GAGGGCAGGAGGACGAGGTCGATCTCTTCGAGGAGTTCGTCAAGACGTTGAGGAAACTACAGAAGGATTATGAAGTGCCCAAGCTGACCCAACTGGAGAATATTATAAATACCATAGTCGAAGAAGGGTATACCGTAGGAATGGGGATGTTCTAAAGTCGATGCGTGGGTCGTACTCAGGGAGGAGTTGCCGGCCTGGAACTTCAATGGTCCACAGGACATCATGTCCTTTAGGGTTGTATGTGAGGTGAATTCGACGAGGAGTGGTATGTATTGGCATTCGATTTGTCGGATGTAGGCTTTACGAGAGTCCAACTACAACAAGTTGAAGGCGATGAGACTGTGGAAGTGTGATATGGGAGATGAGGGTGTACGGAGTGTTTGCAAATACCTCGAGATGCCTGTTAACCCTAAGGTCTTAACCCCTTTCACGGTTTGCCTTACTATTATATTTTCTCTATTAGTTCGGTGGTTGTATAGTAGAGGATGTTCAAATCACTGATGGTGGAGTGACGAGTATGTAACCTTGCAGCCCTCTACTGTATAGGTAGATTCCTCTCAGGTCTCGGGTGTGCTATACTAGGGCGGACCCTCAGCTTGAATGGATATAAGCTCATAACCCTACTCAAACTAGACTACAACAAGTTTGGCAGTGCTGGTGTCGAGGCGTTGGCAGAGGGTAACTGTTAGCTTCCTATTGTCGGATTGTTCCATTCCAGGTCTATGCCAGAACGGATCAATACGTGGCCTCAGCTTACAGTACTGTGATATAGGCCCGGAAGGAGCTCAGCACTTATCCCTTATTCTCATCTTTGTCAACTGGTGAGTATAGCGGTACTCTGATGTACCGTGTACTTGACTTGGTTGTTAGTATTATAGAAGATCTCAATCTTCGTGGTAACAACCTACAGAGTTTGGGGTTCCTAGAGCTCATGTCGCGTGGATTCCGGGGGGCTAGGAAGTTGAAGGTTGGAACATTTCGATCTATACTAATGAGTATGTGGTAATCAAGGCGATCAATGTTGCTGATAACAAGATCCACGAGGAGGAGAGGCTACTGCTTGAACTTACTAGAGTCTTCCGTGAGAATCTAACGATAGAACGGTAGGACGCTCGATGGGTGTGGGTATATGTTGGACTTGGTTACAGATACAATTTAAGCTCTAATTTCTTCACTGATGTTGGGGCTAAGCGAGTGGTACAGGGATTGGTAGGGTCGACTCACATTAAGGAGGTCCTTGTCACGGAACGGTGCTCTCCTACTACATTGGAGGCATTGGAACAGGTAGTAGCTGAGGACTAGTTTTGTCTACTCCGAAATGACTCATTCCATAGAAGTTCTTTATCATTCATAGTCTCTCTAACTTGTGAGTATTTCTCAACTTGCTGAGAGCCTTCGGTTATGTTCCTGCTGTTATTGGTCCGCATATATGGAGTGAATCGTGGTGACAGGCCATGGGAGCGAGCAAAGGGAAAAAGGGCGGCAAGGGTAAAAAAAAGAAAAAGAAATGAGGAGCATGTCCCTTGGGTTGACATGAATGTGTCTGCAATGGTTGTTGGCATTGTTGTTGCCTTAATAGATGTTTGGTTAACCATGGGCATCCTTGCTGACCCCAATTGATAGCTTTTACCATGACTCATCGTTCCCCAGTGTCTCGTCCCGCACAAGGGGCTACTCATCTCGCGGGTGAAGTCACCGAGTGTGAAGTGTCACCAGAGGTGCTCACTTGGACCACCACTATTCCTTGCTGGCATAGCCTTGATCTTAATCAGATATTGACGATGAAGATAAGGAAGGCCCTGAGCTCTATACGCTCTCACTTACCACAGAGGCCTATTGGTGTTGGGGGACTGTCACCAGGTTGGTATCACCCTTTGCAGATTGTGAACATGACATGATGTTAGATGCCGTTGAGGAAGTGATGGTGGCGTGTAAGCGCTGTGTGGCCCTTGCATTCAAAGTGAAGAAGCTGGAGGCTGAAGTATGTTTTATCTAACAGTGTAGTCTGTGTGCATACTATCAGTTATCGTGCTCTAATGAGAGGAACCACAAGCTGAGTAAGGAGCTTCGAGAGCTACGAGCGTCCAGACATGAGTGGGAGGTGGGTAGTGTCCTGTATGGGGATATATGCTATATGTGTTGGTGACAATGAAGTAACTCCACGAGCGTTCTGAGGAGGACTTGTTGTACACTCGTCCAATACATATTCTAGTGCTGGTCCCACTACTAGTACTACTGTGAACGTGCGAATTTGAAAGTTGATTCATTGTTAGGATCAACGGGATAAGTATATTGACAGACTCGCGAGAGTTAAGGAGTGGGTGAAGTTGACTAAAGTTAAAGTAAGCACCTATGTGGTCGTGGTAGTGTAGTAGTTGTGGACAGCACAAGATGGAGAAGGCGGCTCTCATGAGGGCACATGAGGAGGAGCTAGTTATGGCACTTAGTCGTCAGATGGAATCTCATAAACACGATAAAGGCTTCGATGATGATGACCACAGGTTATCAAGTGTTGTCTTGTAGGGTAGTCCATCGTCCTGTTCAGTGCGTCATCTGCAATGCAGCACAGGCAAGGGCAAAAAGCGTCAGAGGGGGCAGTGGTCTCGCATGTGGTCAGTGCTGCACTATTATGCATAACTTGATGTCGATAATGCAGGTTAGCAGAGGGGAAGAGGGTGGCGGCCCCTTGGATCCTCCCGAGTATGTCAGTCGCGTCCTCTGGGGTGGTATGATAAGCATCCCGTTCAGAGTATGGAGTCCCCTACTCGTCCCT